TAACCTTATGGTTTGAAGTCCAGTGCTGATCCTACAGCACCACACAACACCAACAACCATATTTATATACAACTTGCTCTTTATGATGGTAGTTTTAGCTCCATGTTATTTTATCTTTTCTATATCATTTCTTACTTATTTGTATGGATTCCTGCTGTGGTGCTGTAGGATCAGCACTGAACTGCGAACCACTAGGTCAGCAGTTCAAACCCACCAGCTGCTCCTTAGAAACACTCCATAGGGTCACTATGAGTCAGAACTGACTCAACACCACTTTAACAACAACAACAACTATTTTTGATATACTAATGAAATAATAACAAAGATATTGTAAATGTATTCATTATTACACCTGTACTACCTAATTGAACTTCCCATAATAAAACAACAGGGGCCAGACATATATTTTTATTTCTGTCTGATATACTAAGAAACTGGAAATTATAAGGGAAAAGAACAAATCTAAAATCAAACTAAATTGCAGAATGAATGCTGGAACTCAAATCTGGCTTTATTACTGTTGTGCTTTGTACTATTCACTAATTCATAACATGGATTATAAAATCTACCAATTTATTTATTTCTTTGAATTTGAGATGCACTTGATCCAACACATCCCCAAGGAGGATTCTATAATTAATATTCTGAGAAATTATTAGTTTAAAGCTCAACCACATAGGTCTGATTCTACATAGATATTTAGACCAGGTATCAAGTATACAATCTGTTAATCTGTATATAATGAAAATACCTTTTTCAGTGGTATGCAAATACAGGGATTAACCTAAATAACATGATATCCTTCTTATTAGGAATAACTTCAACTTATTCCTGAATGATAATTTTTACCAACATATTAATGCCTGAAATGACTGGAATAGTGGTTAGTGTCTTTCAGTAATAAGGAAAACATTGGTTTAAATCCAGCTCTATTTGGCTCAGGTAAACCTTAATTCATGCTGAAGTGGGTGTAGTTGACATCAGACCAATGGCTCTGCTACATGACGGTTGATGAGATGAGGTGGTAAATCCTGTTTGCCCTTAGTGATTGAGTACCAGGGCTCAGGTCAGTGTTGGATTACCCAGTTAACAAAATAAGCACAGACAATACTTGCATTTACTTATTAATTAGCATCAACAATTTCAATGTTTTCCATCACATCAAATGTTCAAAGGATGACACTTGGATATGTCCAAAGTATGAGACATGAAGTCTGACTGTCCTGACTCCCAAGGAAAAGATCAGCATGGAAAACCCAGGGAGCACAGTCTGTTCTGAGTTACATGGAGTCTCGAAGAATGGAGACTTAGTTTTATTTTCAAATTTATTTTAAACTTTTTACTGTGAATTGCATGAACATTTATAGATAACATCATTGGTTTTGTTTCAACAAATCATTAACTTTGTTTCATCACAATGATTGAAATCCCTCCATGCAAGAACAGTTATCCCACTTTCTCTCTGTGTTTCCTATTTCCATTCCACCCACCCTCCAATCCCTTCTCCACTTTGTCCTTAGGTAAATTTTGAACTTTTTATTTTGAGTGACTGACCATTCCATGGTGAGCATACCTTACTAGGGTTGTTGTCCCCTCTATATATCTATCTATCTCCTGTTTGACTGAAAATTTGGCCATGAGAGTAAGTACCTTTCCAACCTTAAGGGTGGTTGAGGACCATAGTTTTGGGTTAGTCCAGTCTCTTGCTGACCAGTAAGCCAGGTCTTTTTACACAATTTTGAAATTTGTTCTACTTTTCCTGCCACTTTATCTGGGACCTTCTAATGTGATACCTTTCAAAGTAGTTGGTAGCGGTAGTCAGGTACCACCTAGTTCTTCTGGTCTCAAAGTTGTGGAGACTGATGTTCATATGTCCATCGAACTAATAAATTTCAAGCATCTTCAATTCTCATTGCTCTGCTTTCTTCTGCATATGGAGAGACCAATAATTGCAGCTTAGATGGTCATTCATGAACTTTTAAGATCCCAGATGCTTGAATGTAGGCTTTGTTTTATAGCACTGTTTTCAGTTACATACTTCAGCTAAGCCTTTGAAGACTGCCTCAGTAACTCTCTTCTTATACTCCTAATGACACAGGTCAGTTGATTTTCCCTTCTTCAAGTCAGATGCCAATGCTTCAAACTCAATTTCTAATTCTTCCTTAAAATGGTAAGTTTTGTTAAGGTCTTGACCCTTTCCAAATGGAGTGTGAGTGGTGAGCCCTAGTTACTGAAGTTCCACATGTGAGGCAGTCTACAGTACAGGTAGACTGAGACAAAGCCAGATATTTTCCTAGTGTTCTTGAGCTCTGTTCAACATGCTTTCTCCAGAAAAACCTACTAGTTGTGACTCTCAACTCAAACCAGATTTTCATGTTATTTATATTTACTAAAAATCATTGGAAACTGGATATATGCTTGCATGCAGCACAGGTCATTCAGTCAAATCCATCCCATTGTCATTCTGTTTTACAGACTGGGAAAGGTTATGCTAAAATCTTGATCATTTATTTCTATTGAAAAATTTAAAGACTTGACTTCACCATGCCTGCTATTGAGTCATATATACTCACTGCCACATAAATTATTCTGACTCATACAACTGTATATAGGACTGTGTAGAACTACTTCATAGGATTTCCAAGACTGTAAATCTTTACAGGAGAAGACAGCCCCATTTTTCTCCCATGGAGTGGTTGGTGGGTTTTACCTAGGAAGTTGTGGTTAGCTGGGCATTCTTTCAATTTCATATGGTCAGCTTTTATTCAGACCCATCCCATCACTACTGTCTCTGACCTGTTCAATTATTCACAGTATCCGCTCAACTTCTGCGGACGTTTTCATTGCTTTTGTCCTAAATAACATCATTTCAATGATCTGACAGTTGCTCAGTAGATGATTATTGAATGCATCACACTATTTTGTCTTTTGCATTAAGTAATATGAATCACTTTGGAAAGTGTTGCCTGTTATGATATATATGTATGCAGATAACTAATAATTTAAAAGAAACATGTTATTTCTTAAGATTTCTTAAGAATCTGTCATTCCCCAGACTTACCAGGATTGCAAGAGAGAAAGAAAGAAAAGTGAATGGGACTCATGAAGTATGGTTGGATCCAATTTTATTCTTGACCATCTCTATGAATGGCTTTATGATATGTCCTTTGAACACATTTTGAGCACTTGCTGATGCTCTATGTCCATGACTTGATAAGAAAATGATAAATGAGACCACAGTTACAGAATTCATTCTTAAGGGCTTCTCAGAAATTCTTGAATTGAGGCTTGTTAGCAGCACATTTATCCTTATCATCTATATCTTTGCTCTCCTGGGAAACATATCCATCATTACAGCTGTGACGAGAGACAGTCGCCTTCACACCCCCATGTACTTTTTCCTGAAGAATCTGTCATTTTTGGACATGTGCTATACTTCAGTCACCATTCCCAAGGCACTGATTGACTCATTTTTGGGCTCAGGAGTCATTTCCTTTTGGGAATGTGTGGCTCAGCTCTTTTTATTTGTAATGTTGTGTGCATCTGAGTGCTTTTTGCTCACATCCATGGCATATGACCGCTGTCTGGCCATTCAAAGGCCCCTTCTTTATGGGGTCATTATGAGTAGAAAATTGTGTACAGAACTTGTAATTGCAGCCTGGTTGAGTGGAGTTCTTTATGCCATCTTTCACACAATTAACACTTTCTCCCTCCTGTTTTGTGGGCCTAATATCATTGATCATTTCTTCTGTGATAGCTCCCCCATCATGAGACTCTCCTGCACTGATCCCCATACCAATGAGGAAATTGGATTCGTAGTGGGTGGGTGCATCATTCTTGGTGCATTTGCCCTCACTATAATCTCCTATGTTTTCATCATCTACACCATTGCTCAGATCCACTCTGCTGATGGCCGTTGGAAGGCTTTCTCTACCTGCTCCTCTCATCTGGCCACTGTCATTCTGTTTTATGTCACTGGAAGCTTTGCTTACCTGACACCTGCTTCCCATTACTCTCCCACTCAAGGACGGCTGGTATCTGTGTTTTATTCCATTCTTACACCCAGCCTGAACCCTCTTGTGTACTGTTTGAGAAACACGGACATGCAGGTGGCCCTGAAAAAGCTATTTGTTCCATCTAAATAGACATATTTCCTCTTACTTATAATAGTTCCCGGAATGTTGTCCTGTATTGTCTTTGAACTTCATTATGTAGTTTATTCTCCTACAGCCATGGAGCCTAGATTTTGTGCCTCCTAAAATTGCATTTTAGGAAAAGAATGCATATATACCATGGAGATAATTTTATTAACTATTGATATTACAAGGGAAAAAAATCTACCATATGCTGTCAATAACTTGTGACTAAATTAAATATATTTTAAGTTTCAAAAAAACCAAAGTATGAACTCTTAGAATTAGCAACAATAAAAAAAAAGTCTTATCAGGGAATGAACATTATTTAATCAAAACATATAATGGGCATAGCTCTTAAAATGCATGAAAAATATTGTAAGTAATTGTTACTTTTGTTTAAAAATTTCAGCTTCATAATTCCTGTCAAATGTCCAGTTTGATCTTAAACTTCAAATTGCAAGCAATGTTCAGTGCCATTTTAGTCTATTTCAATTTTCTTTGTTAAACTCAGAGAAGCCTAGAATAAAACATATTGTCCCACTACCTCTCTACATGCAGTGACAGAATACTGTCTGTACTTGTTTTGTTTGCAAAGGGTGGCATGAACAGGGAAGTACAGTGTTCACTTCTTGATAAAGAGTGATTGGGAATTATCTTAGAGAGATTTCTTTGTCTTCTGAAGAAATTATTACTGTCCACAACTGACAAGCTTATTTGTGTTGGTTAACCACTGAGCATATGAATGTGCACAGCCATGCCAAGTTAATGGGGTGGATTTCTGGAAGCTGTTTAGCATGTCAGCAAGAAAATGAGTTGTTAATTGTCATGGAGTAGATTTGGTTCTGATTCATAGAGACTCTGTATAGGATTTCCAAGGAGCAGCTGGTGAGTTTGAACCACTGACATTGCAGTTTAAATGGACTTTGAAGTTCAGTGCTTATCCTACAGTGCTACACCAGGACTCCATGAAAATGAGAGAATCCTAGTATTTTTTAATGTCCTGGAATCAGACAAGTGTTACCAGTGTTTATATTGATAATGTTTTCATTGATAAAATAGGCAAATTATTAATTATTAATCATTTATATTCATTAAAAATAATTGACCTTGGTACATTCCCACTTAAAGAGAAATGAAGACTAGTCTGGAGTGGCTAGAGGAACAGAAGTTACTTCCTGAAAGGAAAAAACAAAAACAAAAACAGCCGTCTGTTTGACTATTACAAGAACAAGAAAGCTGTTCACTAGGAAGCCATCAAAGAAAGCAATCAAGTCCCTTCAGAACAAACCCCTCTCCAAAACTGAAATTCAAAGAGAACACATGAGTAGGCATGTAAGCTCACTGGTGACCATGTTGGTCTACATTTAAGTGGAAGTAGGGGAAAGTCCGTAATGAAGATATGGGATGAGTTAGACCATATTCCATAAACTCCTGTCGACCTTGAGATTAGAGAGAAGAGGAAAGGTTCGTTGGTCCAAAGTTTGGGGAGACTTAGGAACTCCTGATTCTATCGACATTTACCTAGGCATGGAGGACTAGAGCTGAGAGTGAAGCATCTAGCTGATATGAAATGAGGGGAGATGCACAAGAACCCCCAACTTGCAGAGAGTATCCATTTAACCTAGCTTGGATTACTTGATGATCAGAACTTGACTAGAGGAAGATAAAGAAATTTGATAAAGGAAGCAAGTGTAAATTGCTACAATCTGATGAACTTGACCTATACTTATGGCTGTAGTAGTTCAAACTACCAACTGAAAGGGAAGGAGTCTTCACGTCAAGGATCAAGCCTATCCCCTTGGTATACACGGTTGATAGTGATGGCAACCTAGACATTGACTACCTCAAATGGGGGTGCTATAAAGGCAAAAAAATGGCTGGCTTACAAGTTTTCAAGAGAGAATTCAGTTTCAGGGTTCAGGGGAAGGTAGAGTACCCCCTGAATAGTTTTCATCTTTTCTAGTTGAGTCTGGTTAAAGGAGATGAAGATAGGATCCTTTTGTTTCAATAGTGAGTAATTGTTATCATGACTAATTGCTGCCGTCACAACTGCAAAGGTAAAACTTTTGTAACAGAGAAAGGGAAGTAGTTAATCTTATATTCCAGGACAGAGGACCCTATGATCATCAAGAGAGAAGAGCATGAGCGGAACATGGGACCTTAACCAGAGAAGCAGCAACACCAGAGATGGAGGCAGATGTGATGGCATGGAGAGATAGAGCATCTGAGGACTAGACTCATAGAAAGAGAAAGGCTATGTGCTGGCATCTAGGAGGCAGGCTTGAAGAATGTGCCCTTTGGATTTTAAAATTATTATTTATTCCTGAGCGTTTTTATGTGCATAAAAAAAACCTCATAAAAACAACAACAACAAAAAAGAGGGAATAGAAGCAAATACTGTTAACTAATGATTAATGGGAAGGGTTGTAATCATTGCAGTGAAGCAAAATATGATAAGCTGAGGGCAAAACCAATGTTCTCCCATGTAAACTATCACTCAATTCATAATAAAAGCTTTTAAAACAATCATTGACCTCATTTATACATGAATAGCAAGAATTTTTAAAGGCAAAAATCAGCTGTGTATTTGTTTATTGATTTGTTTGTGAAAGAGCACACACACACATACACACAAACATATATATAATTGCTTAGTAGATACCATTGAAGAATTGGACTTGATGATTACTTGTTGTTGGTAAGTACATTCAAGTTGGCTTTAACTCATAGTGATCCTGTGTAGGGTTTCCAAGGAGTTGCTGGTGAGTTTGAACCACTGACCTTGCTTAGATCTCTTAAAAATACAAACAATTCAGTAGTCCAAGTATAACTCTATAGGATAAGCACTGGAATGCTAGGACTGTTTGAACTGAAAGCTTGTCAGTTCAAACTCACTGGCCACTCTTGGAAACTCTATACAGTGTTGCTATGAATCAGAAATAACTGATGGCAGTTAACAACAACTATTAAATTAAGGATTCCTGGTGATACAATGGTTAAGCACTCATCTGCTAACCAAAAAGTCAGAAGTAGAACTTATGAACACTTACATAGATGAAAAGACCTGAAAATCTTCTGCTGTAATAGATGCAAAGTAGAAAACTCTTTATGAAAAATTTTCAGTATCCTGTAATGTTACTGTGGCACTACTGGTTAATGTGCTGGAATGCAAGGTCCATTTGAACAATAAGGTTGGTGATTAAAGCTCACCAGCCACTCCATGGAAACCGTATACAAGGTTGCTATGAGTTGGAACTGACTTGAAGGCACTTAACAACAACATAATATTTTCTATGAGTTTGAATTGACTACAACGATCATATTATGTTTGATAATGGTGAGGGAATTTAAATTATAGACTATTTGTGTTTTATGTGACACTGTAAGATAAGCACTGGATTGCTAACCACAAGTCAGTGGTTCAAAACAACCAGCCTCTCCTTAAAAATCCCTATACAGTTTTGCTATGGTCAGAACCAACAACAGCACTTAACAACAAATTAAAGTAAAAATCTGATTTAATTTTCTTATGGTCTTAATCTCGCTGACTCTCATTTATACACATACATGCATAAACATACTGTATACACAGCAAATATCTTCTCTGTATAAACTTGAAAAAATATCAGTATGGAATGTGACTATGTGGTACAGGGAGTTGGTAATGATTAGGTGAAAGAAGAAAAAAGCTAAGTGTGCCCCAATAACTTTATTCAGTAGAAATGAACCTCACCAAGTCTCATCAGTGTTGACTCTTATAGAGGTTAATTATAGGATATTTTGTATTGTTTAGATGATATGACAATGTAGACAGGTGTTAAAGATATTGAAAATTGAGAAGATAAATTAATTCAAGAATTTGAATTGTAAACTTTTACTTTATTTTAGCTTATTTACTTAGTAAACATTCCTTTGCAAACTGTTTGATGATATCTATTACAGCTGAACTTAAACAATTTATGTCATAATAATTCTACTCCTAGGTATATATATATAAAAGAAATAAATACAAACATGCATCAAAATTCATGTGCAAGGATGATCATAGAGACTTCTGGTTTGGGGCAGAAGAAAAGGAGACAGGCAGCAAAGGCTCCTCTACAGAGGTGCAAAAAAGCAGAAGGTGATTTGCCGGAACAATTCCAGAGTTTTAGATCTAATATAAGGTGGGGGGTGGCAATCAGTTTTGGTGCCCACTGGTGGAGAAATCTGACTCTGTGGCAGGACTAAATGGCAGAAATGGAGGCAGGAGTAAACAACAATTTTGGGTTCAACTGGGATGCTCCTTGCAACCCACAGCCTGAATGGAGTTCAGAAGGCCAGACCACAGTCAGGCTGATACATTGCAAAAAACCTTGGAGCAACTTGTGGAAAAAGAGATGTGATGACTTTTCTATACTCCTCTCCCCTGTTACACCTTCTCTGCCCAGTCTGTGCATCTTCAGGTAGGTGGGAATGTACCCTCAAAGGGTCCAGCATTGTGACCACAGGGTATAATTTTACCACAGAGCAGAGGAAATCTCTGAAAGCCCCAGTGGTCCAACAAGCTAATCCTTTGACTGCTTCTTATGACGTCTGACTCTGGGACTTAGCTCGAAAGTTTAACTGGGTGGGATGCTTTATTCCTGCCTTCCTAGCAAGAAACAGCTGGTCTGGCCATACAGCCAAACTGTAAGTGCACCTTATAAAACCCCAGCATAAAAGGCAAGAGCCAACACCAACTACTATATACAAGGACACAGCTATTTTGAGAATTACACTGTTCATAGAAGATATCTATGTTCAGAGATAAAAATAGTAGACAATCTTTTCCCATTCGTTTCTAAGTATCTATCTGCGCATCTCCATGATGGTGACTAGAGGAAGGGCCTCAGTGAGTGGACACCCCTACCCACTGCTGGAGGTTTCTATAGTGCATGCACAGTAACCTGTGTGGCAAAGGCTACTGGACAGTCAGCTACAGATTTATTTTTGTTTTTATGTATTGCTTTTTGACTCTGTTTTTATAG